TAATGAGAAAAGTTTATGCAGAGGTCAGTGTAGACTCCTGCAGGCCGCTGTGGGCAGCCACGGCTGGTTTGAGACAGATTAGCCCCCCGGTTCTGCAAATCCTCCTGGCTTCTCCCTGAAAAAACAAAACAAAACAAAAACAGGTCTGGCTTTCGTCAATGTCAGGGAGGGCATCTGTCAGGGAGGAAAGTTTAAGTCTCAGCCCTTCTGTTAAACTCTGAGCAAATTGCAGGATGTGGTTAGGGTGGACTAAAGGGGTTTATAGGTTAATCAGAACCAGCGGTTCTCAACCTGTGGGTCGCAACCCCTTTGGGGGTCGAACGACCCTTTCACAGGGGTTGCCTAAGACCATCGGAAAACACATATATAAATACATATTGTTTTGTGATTAATCACTATGCTTTAATTATGTTCAATTTGTAACAATGAAATTGGGGGTCACCACAACATGAGGAACTGTATTAAAGGGTCGCGGCATTAGGAAGGTTGAGAACCACTGATCTAAACAAAGTTATGAATTCTAAATAAAAGCTATTCTATGCCAGGCTGCCTGCATATGTATATATAACAGATTATACCATCTACCCTGAAGATTTTATGTAGGAACAATTTTCAGTTTAAATTCTTTGATGGTCTCTTCGGGTTTTGTAAGTGTTATATATTTACTTAGGACCTGGTAAATCTAAAATTTCAATACATTGGCATAAGGTAATTCGTAATATCTTATTATCTTGTAACTGTCTGCCATGAGGTTCCCTTTTCAAGTCCTAAGATTGGGTATATGTGCCTTCTCTCTTCTTCGGTGATCATTCTAAACAAAAACTTGTGAATTTTATTAGTCTTTTTGGAGAGCCAACTTTTGGGCCTTGCTGATCTTCCCTATTGTATCTTAGCTTTTTATTTCATTAATTTCTGTTCTGTATTATTTTTTCTTTCTACATATGTCTTTTTGCTGTTCTTTCATAACTTCATAAGCTCATAGATTTTCAATCTTTCTTTTTTAGTAGTATACACATTTGAGAAATAGAGTTCCCTTTAAATACTGCCTTCACTTCACATTTTGATATGTAGTATTTTTTATTATCACTCAGTTCAAAAAGGTTTATAATTTTCAATATTATTTCTTCTTTGACCCATGGTTTATTTATGAATACTTTCCTTAAGTTCCAAACAAATAAGATTGTTCTGGTTATCTTTTAATTTTTACTTTTAACTTAAATGCATGGGTCAGAGGATATACTCTATATAACTTTATTCCTTTGAAATATGTTGAGGCTTGCTTTATGAGCAGTATAGTAATTATTAATGGCCTCTATATTTTTGACATGAATGTGTAGGTGTTGGATGCAATATTTTATGTATGTCCATTAAGTAAGTTGATTAAAGCTGCTGTTCAAAGCACAAGGAAAATAGTCAATCTAGAATAATAAAAGCATAATATGCTGATTAGACTGGATGTCTTTCCAGACATCCTTCCGGAAGACCTTCTGGACGAAGCCAGGGCTGTGAGGGAAGCCCAGGTCCCGGGTGCCTGACAATGACCGGATGAAAGCCTGTGTCCCTGGTGCCATAGGGAAGCTGGTGCTGGCAGCTGGGGGAAGGAAGGCCTACTCTTGCATGAATTTCGTGCATTGGGCCTCTAGTACCATATTATCATAATAACTATGCATGGTGACAGGTGGTTACTAGACTTATTGTGGTGATCACATCATAAGGAATATAAATGTTGTACACTTAAACTAATATAATATTGTATGCTAACTATACTTTATTTTAAACAATCCTGCTTTTACATATATTTACTGATGTTTTTGTCTGTTTTAATAAATGACCTTCTTAATTTATACTTTGTATTTGTTCTGACAGGTCTGTGTTTCTTTTTCTCTCAGTTTTTGTCTTCTTCTGAATTGATATGTTTTTGGTCACTCCGTTTCCTCTCCTCTACTAATTCCAAAGTTAATGCAATTTGATTATATTATTTTTGTGATGCCTAAATTGCTGGTAGGTATTTTACTTTGGATCCCATGAAGCACTAAATGAGTGAATGAGACAGTGAGACAGAAAGAAAAAAAGCCAGTGCAGGCGACATTGATGAACCAGTTACTGCTATGGGCAGCTGGGACCTCTGGGAGAGCATGGAGAACATGTTTCAGCATTCCCATCTCACAAGCAAGGAAGCTGGTACATTTATTCAGAACTGAGCTTTCATTAGCTGCATTAACTCCCTATCCTTACTGGCCTGCCCTACATGGAGGCTGAATATACTCCTGCAACCAGAGAAATCCCTCAGGCGGAGTCTCAGGTGCTTGCTGTAGGAAAACATTGACAGGTGTGGCCATGGTAAGTGCCGACAGAATGTGGGCAGGCACCATCATCTGCTTAGAATGACATCATGCATAGCTAACTTATCAAAGTCTAAAGACAATCAACACTTTACCCTTCCTGGGACCTACACAGGTCTAGAACACTTCGACTCCATGTAGTCACCCTCCCCTGAAATTCTTAGGCTATTGTTACTGTGTATTTTAATTCTATCTGGCTTATTTTAACCACATATGGCATTATTTTTCAAATGTCTATTAGAATCATCCACATATTAGCCTGCTTACTTGTTCTTCATTCTTTCTTGCATCTCAGACCTTCTATTTGGTTCACATTCCTTTTGTCTGAAATAGGTTATTGGTATATTGGAGAGTTGCAAACATTTGCCTTTTTGGTCTGACATGTCTTTATTTTGTCCCAAATCTTGAAAGACTTTTTCTGGTTATATAATTCTAAGTTAACAGGTATCTTGTTTTAAGCTATTGACAACATTATTTTCCTGCCCTCCCAAACCCCCATCCAAAAAAAGTCAGCTCTCAGTGTACTTGCCACTCTTTAAAGGTAATTGGTATGGCCCTAACTCCGTGATCGGCAAACCGCAGCTCGCGAGCCACATGTGGCTCTTTGGCCCCTTGAGTGTGGCTCTTCCACAAAATACCACGTGCAGGCGCGCACGTAAGGTGCGATTAAAACTTCGTGGCCCATGTGCAGAAGTCGGTATTTTGTGGAAGAGCAGGTATCTCTCCCTCTCCCTTCCTCTCTGAAATTAATTTAAAAAAATATAAGAAAAATATTGCTATGAAAAATGGCAGATTTTAATGCCTATGTTTCATTTAGGATTTTTGTGGTTTTGATTCTAACATTTAAATCTTTAATCTCTTTTGAGTTTATTCTTGTGCATGGTGTAAAAAGGTGGTCTAGTTTCATTTTTTTTTGCATATATCTGTCCAATATTCCCAACACCATTTATTGAGTAGACTAGCTTCACCCCATTGTATGTTTTTGCCTCCTTTGCCAAATATAAATCAACTATAAAGAGGTGGGTTTCTTTCTGGGTTCTCTATTCTGCTCCATTGACCTATATGTCTATTTTTATGCTGTTTTGATTACTATGGCTTCATAGTATAGTGTGATATCAGGCAGCAGAATTCCTTCAACTTTGTTCTTCTTTCTCATGATTAGTGTTGCTATTCTGGGTCTTTTGTGATTCCATATACATTTTTGGAATGTTTGTTCTAGTTCTGTGAAATACTATCTTGATAGGAATTGCATTGAATCTATAAATTGCTTTGGCTAGCATGGACATTTTTTATGATGTTAATTATTCCTATCCATGAACACTATATATTCTTCCACTTACTTGTATCTTCTTCAATTTTTTTTACAGTGTATAATCTTGTGAGCACAGGTCTTTTACATCTTTGGTTACATTTATTCCTAGATATTTTATTGTTTTTAAAGCAATTGTGAATGGGATTGTTTTCTGAAGGTGGCCACTGAGTGTGTTGATTCTGAGCCTCTTGTGAGAGACTCTGATGAAGGCCAATATAAGATGCTGCCTGTTGGAGGCACAAGAAAGCCACAATTTGTGGCTACCTCTGCTGGGTGTGCACAGGAAGGACCAAGCTGCATACCAAGGCTGGTTTTTAGCAGCACCAGGTCCAGGGGCAGGTCAGCAAAAGTCCTAAGGCACCCCAAGATCTGCCTCTGCCTACCTCCACCTGCTAGCTGCCTGTCAGGCTCAGTCACTGAGAGAACCTCTGGCTGTACTCCTCAGCAGGCTGTAAGCTCCACAATGTGGAATGAGAGGGAGTCCAGAGGGTGGGGCTATTGCTTTCCCCCAGGGCGATGCCACACAGAGGGGAATGCTCGACGGCAATGTGGTGTGGGAGAATGACCCAGCACGGGGATCCTGGCAGCTATCCCTTCAGCTCCTCCCCAGAGCCTCAAACCCCAGTCTCTCCTCATGCGAGTCTAGTCTGCTTCACCTCCCCTCTGCTGGAGCCCCGGGTGAGTGGCAGTCTCCATGTAACTTCTTCTGTAATCCTTGGTTACAAGACTTCTCTCCAGCTAGTCTTCACTTGGTTATTCAGGATGATTATTCTATAATTTAGTTGTAATTCCAGGTTGGTCCTGGGAGGAGGTGAGTGTAGCTTCCACCTATTCTACCACCAAATCTCATCTCTCCTCATTCAGGATTTTTAAATTGCTCCTTCACCTTTCCTTTTTCCAGACCTCATCTGAGACTCCTTCTTTAGTCCACATTCCTCAGCCCTGAACACATTTCCTATCCTCGTCCTTCTCCTCTTTTCTTTAACATGTTTAAATTTAAACCATTCTTTGCGACTCTCTTTCCTGGGATAATCACTGTAAGAAGAGAAGAATGATGTCCTGTGGGGAGATGACCCACCTCGCTGGACTTAGTAGTTCTTCTGTGAGTTAAATCATTTCCCCGATGAGCTCAGTTGATCTCTCCTGTCTATAATCCCTCCAAGCTGAACTTTGCCCCTTGGCCAATATTGCATGCAGCTCATGGCTCTGCCCCTGCCACTCCCCCCTTTGCGAGGATCCCTTCCCCAGGAATTTCATCACTTCCTAGAACAGCCAAACTTTTTTGGTATATTTCTCTCAGTTAGTGTTTAACCAAACACCTATCTCTAAGGGGTGGGCTGAACTGACAGAGGAAATGTTAAAAACATGAGACTCAGGAGGACAATTTCTGCAGGGACTCCCTGGCTTCTGGAGGAGAGGGAGGTAGGGCAGTGGACAGGTGGCATAGGAGAGAGACACAATGGAGTCTGGCTTCACCTCCAAGGACACCTATCTGAGCCATTTTAACCCTCGAGATTACCTAGAAAAATATTACAGCTTTGGGTCCACACAGTCTGCAGAAAACCAGATTCTTAGGCTTCTTCTGAAAAAGCTTTTCAATATATTCTGTGTGGGTAAGTTTGTCTGTTGTCTGTGTCTCCTATCTCCCCTCCCGACCCCAAAACGTGAGTCATGTAGATAAGAGTCTCAGGGCATGACTGGAATTTTTGTTTAGTCATTGCTATTTAACGGCCCTTTTGGCATCACCTTCTTATGTAGCTAAGATAAAAACTAATGTTGGTGTGGATATTTTACAGTTTACAAAGTGCTTTTATATCCATTATCTTGTTGGGTCACACTAAAGGGAAACCAGAAGATGGGAGTTCTGTCCTTGATTCTACATGGATTTGCTATGTGACTAGCGCCAGACATTTAACTCTTGTGATTGATCACTTAAGACATGGAGGTTCTAATACTTATTCTGTTCCTAACTCAATGGACTATTGTGAATATGCATGAGATAAAGACCTCCCAACATATGAAGAACTGGATGAAGACATTATATAAACTCAAATTTAAAAAAACAACACTTTCCCCCAAAAGTATTCCTTTAATAGTTTTGAGCAGCATGCCTCCACCCTAGATGAGGGAACAGAAAATGAAAGTCTGTTTAAAAAAAAAAAAAAGACTTTGACAGAATAGTCATGATGATCTAAGTGGTGAGATGATCGAGGGGGTCTATCTTTGGGGCCCTCCGTGGGGCTCTCCATCATAATGCCGGCAAAGGCAATGCAAGTCAGCTCTACCGCTGCCATAGAAAGCCTAATTCCCCTTCCTCATTCCTTCCTCTCAACCAGCTGGCGTGAAGGGAGACCTCCTGATTGACATTGGCTCTGGCCCCACCATCTATCAGCTCCTCTCTGCTTGTGAATCCTTCAAGACGATCATTGCTACTGACTACACTGATCAGAACCTGCAGGAGCTAGAGAAGTGGCTGAAGAAGGAGCCAGGGGCCTTCGACTGGTCCCCGGTAGTGACCTATGTGTGTGAGCTCGAAGGGAACAGGTAGAGAAACTGGGCTCTGCTTCTGGGCTTTCTGAGGGGACTTGGGTGACAGTTTGTTTTTCAGAACCAAGAATTATCCTTAGAGTCCAAGTTGAAAAGCAAAGGAGAAAGAAATCCAAATGGAGAATGAGAGAGCAAGAATGAGGTGGGGATGGGGAGGTGTGCGCACGCACCAGAACACAGGTAGAGGGCTGAAGAGATGCACACCGAGCCAAGAGGAATAGAGCTTTCCAGGCCGGTGTGTGGGCTCAGTGTCCTGGCCAGGTACCTTAGGACCTTGTTTTAGGACAACTTCAAGAGGCGAAACCAGCTCCTCACCAGAAGCTCTTGGGTGTCAGAACTGCCCCCTAGTGCCATCCTGTTGCTAGCCACCCAAGCACACAGGATTCTGCTGTGAGGGTGGCTAAGCTGATACCCCAAAAAGCTGACTCTATTTTTAAACTGAGATTTGCAGCATAAAGGGATTATTTGAAAGGAACTTGTTACTTCACCATCTATAAAGTGAGAGCTTTACATACTTACAACTCATGACCAAAATCTGACCCCGCCTTATCAACAAGTGAATTTATGCCACAAATCTAGCTTAAATTGCTCCTTCTCCCCACATGAGAAACTGGCAATAGTCCACTAGGCAGGGGTGACAGTTCTGTGTTTCACTGCCTTGTGCTCCTGTCCTGATGTGCCTCCACTCTGCTAGCCAGCCATCTTCAGTCCTCAGAGCATCATGTCTGCTGCTACGCATACTGCTGAGGCCCCAACAACTCCTTTGCAAACTGCATAAAAATACCACTTTGGTATTTTTCCTAGGATCCTGCTGGCCCTGTCTGCTACTTGCTCAGTTTACTTACTGTTTTTTCCTGCTCTTGTGGTTGTTTTTTGTTTGTGTGTGTGTTTTTGGTGCATTCTTTCTGTCTTTCCCCAAGGATTTAATTTTTACATGAAATCTCTCTCTTCCTTCCCCCGTCCATTTTGCCCTGTATTTCCCCCTTTGCTCATATAATGCACACTTTGTGTGTTGCACCACATCCTCTGTCTTTCCTTTTCTTTCACAATGGGAAAGCATATTTTTAATTCACATATCTCAAGATTTGGTCTAGAAAGAACTCTAATTTCCTGGCAAGACAGGCCTCTCAAAAAACAAGCACTGACACTTTTACACATGATTAAAGAAATTAGCTCCTTCCTTCCTCCCTCCCTCCCTCCCTCCCTCCCTCCCTCCCTCCCTCCCTCCCTCCCTCCCTCCTTCCCTCCCTCCCTTCCTCCCTCCCTTCCTTCCTTCCTTCCTTCCACAAACCTGTACTGACCACCTATGATGTGCTGCAGTGCTAGCTACTGGGATGGAATGGTAAATGAGATGGAGGAGGGCCCTGTCTCATAGAGCTTACGTCAGGAAGGCACACAAGTGCCAGATCACTTGGGTCCTCAAGACCAAGTTAAAGATTGTTGACTTCAGATATAACAGGAATGCATAGAGGAATAACCAAGACAGTATCAATAGTGACTTCCATATTCCCGAACTCAAAAAACAGGAGGATTGAGGCAATAGTCCTGAATCTCAGGGGAAATATAAGGAATGTGGTCTTTACATGTCCCTAGGAATGTGCCGCCTCCACCCTCTTCCTCTGGAGGATGGCCATTTCCCTGTCCTTGTCCTTACCTCTGGCTGCCATCTAGTTACCAGCGTGTTCCTTTCCTTCTAAAGCTAACTCTAAAGTCTGTTCTTTAGCCCTCCCATGTGCTTTGAACTGTTTGCTAACTGTGAGCTATTAAGGGTGTTCTACACTTTATCTTCATTTCTTTACATATCATTGCTACACTTATTGTTAGCAAACATGAATTGTCAAATGGAAATAAGCAAGGTGACTCATTGGTGGTACAATTCTTTATAACTTTGGTTGTGATTTCTTTGACTTTACAGATCAATTTAGGAGAATGGGTATATGGCTCTTCAGTGCGTGAGCATGGCTTATTTCTTCACTTATTTAAGACTTCACTTCTCTCAGCAATATTCTGTAGTTCTCATGTTTTATTTTGCTAAAATTTTCCTTTGTGTCACATTCTGAATGCTATTGTTAAATTTATTTTAAAATGTTTTAATTTTATTTTATTAATTTTTGCTTCATTAGCTACTATATAGCAATACAATTGATTTTTGTATATTGGCCTTGTGTCCTGTGATCTTGCTGACTTCATTAATTAATTTATGAGTGTTTTTGTAGATTCCATAGGGGCCATCTTCTTTGCTTTTTAGAATTTATAATATACATTAGACATTTATGTACGTTAAGAGGTATTCCATTTTTCAAAGAAATTCCCTCCAGCTCCTGTCTTCACTGTCTTCTCCAGAGCAGTAAGCAGTAATTACTACTCTTGTAGATGAGCTGCTCCATTGTGTTGGGCAGTGGTTATAACTTTATGTTTAAGGGCAGTATCATCTCCCCAAACTCATTTCACCACACAGTCTCACTGCACTGTTCACAGTAAAAGTACGCTCTGCTCAGATTTGAAGCGCCTCCTCAAAAGCTAGAGGCCCCGAAGATGCTGGGTGCTGACTTAGTAAGTGTTGACTGGCACCAATGTCTATTTGTTCAATTACTGAAACTACAATAATAGAAATGAAAGCTAACTTAATGGAAAAGGGACTTGGGAATGAGATCATTAAATATAACTAATACATTGTAGATACAAATGCCATGTATTTCCTGATTACTATCAGGTAAATATCTAAACTACCCAATATCTGGTCTAAGGGGAAAAGGTCAGAGACTCTCGGGTCCATTGTGAAAACCTGAGGTCCGCTGGGACAGTCACTTTAGTCTTTTTCTCAGAGACTTCCGCTGGTCCTTTTTTGGTACCCATTTGTGTCTGCATCTTTAGAGTCTACTTTGCCTTTGCTTTTATCATTGGATTGGTGGGTAGCTTTTCTAGGCCACTACGCCACCGACGACTGACAAATGGGGAGACCACAGGGTGCCTGCATGGTGCCAGGAACTTTTTGTAGGCCCAGAGCAGAACTGGAATGAGGATGTACAGGAACGCACACCATTGCCTCAGGCCGGAGCTCCTGAATGAGAGAGTCCGGAGCAGGAGAGCAGTAACCGGGCTGGGCTCCTTGTGCGTGGTCAGGCTGGAGCCTGCAGAGCAGCCGACAGTGCCCAGGCCCCAACCTCCTCCCCGCCCCTCACTCCCCACCCTTCCGCCCCCTACCGAAAGCCTGAGATCAACTGGGTCCATAGGGTTTCTGCGTACAAACTTTTAAAAAATATATTTTTTTTATTGATTTCAGAGAGGAAGGGAGAGGGAGAGAAAGATAGACACATCAATGATGAGAGAGAATCATTGATTGGCTGCCTCCTGCATGCCTCCCCTAGGAATCAAGCCCAGAACCCGGGCATGTGCCCTTGACCGGAATTGAACCTGAGACCCTTCAGTCCGAAGGCCAATGCTCTATCCGCTGAGCCAAACCCGCTAGGGCTCTACTTACATTCTTTTATCATCTGCAAATAAAAAGTTTTACTTTTATTCCAACTTTCCAACTTTCCACCTTTTATTTATTTTTCTGGCCTATTATACTGACAAGGACTTCCAGAACAGTGTTGAGTAGAAATTATGAGAGCAGACATCTGTGCCTTTTTCCATATGCTAGGAAAACATGTTCAATGACTCATCATTAAAAATGATGATGTTAGCTCTGGGTTTTTTCACGCATATTATTTATCAGACTAAGTTCCCTTATAATTCCTAGTTTCTTGGGACTTTTTAACCAAATGTTGAATTTTATCAAATTTTCTTTTATTTGTTGAGAGAGAGTCCCACGTGATTTTCCTCCTTTATTCTGAAAATGTGAATTACATTGGATGACTTTGAATGTTTAAACCAAATTAACCTAAACCCCTTGGTCATAAAATGTTATTCTTTTTGTATCTGTATGAGAGATATTGAACTTTAAATTTAAATATGCTTGGCAGGTGTGGTATCAGCATGATGCTAGAGTCATATACCAAGCTAAGAGTGTTTCTACACCCTCTATTTTTTAAGAGTTTGTATTTCTTTCTTAAGTGACTGGTAGAATTCACCGGTGCAGCCATCTGAACTTGGAGGTTCTTTTTCATGTGCGTGAAGGATTTTTATTAAGAATATGACTCCTTTAATGGCTATTTGGATTTTCTAGTTCTACTTTTGTGTTTTGATAAGTACTATTTTTCAAGAAATTTGTTCTTTTCATCCTGCTTGTCAACTTTTTGGCACAAGGTTTTTTTTGTTTTGTTTTTTTTTTTTAACATATTCCGTTACTAACCTTTTAATATCTGTAGCTTCTGTAGTAATCTTCCCTCTTTCATTCTTGAAATTGGCAATTTGTGTTTCTTTAAATCTGGGTAAATCTTGCTGTAGATTGGTAAAATTTATTAATCTTTTCAAAGGTCCAACTTTTGCCTCTGTGATTTTCTTTTTAAAATACATATATATTTTTATTGATTTCAGAGAGGAAGGGAGAGGGAGAGATAGAAACATTAAAGATGAGAGAGAATCATTGGTCGGCTGCCTCCTGCATGTTCCACACTGAAGATCAAGCCCACAGCCTGGCATGTGCCCTGACACTGTGACCTCCTGATTCATAGGTCAGTGTTCAGCCACTGAGCCACTCCAGCTGGGCTTGGCTTTGTTGATTTTCTTGATTGTCCATATTATATTGTATTGATTTCTGTTCTTATTTTCTTCCTTTCATTTACTTTGGTTTTAATGTGCCCTTTTCCCCTAGCTTCTTAAATAGAATCTTAGATCACTGATTTCACACATTTCTTTCTTCTAATGTAGGTGTGTAAAGCTATAATTTTCCTTTAGCATTGTTTTAGTTGCATCCCACGATTTTCGATAGGTCATGTTTTTATTATTCAATTCATCATATTTTCTAACTTTCTTTGTGATTTCTTCTTTGACAATAAATTATTTAGAATTGTGTTGCTTAATTTCCAAAATTTCTATTTTTTCTAGATATCTTA